AACTACTCCAGGTGCATATGCTTTAGTATTTAATTGATTTATGTCCATAATAAACAAACTGATGTTTAGGCAATTATAGTTTGAAGCTTTTAGCTGACGGAAAAATATAATGATTCTTTTTATTACGAGTAAAAAAGTTAGTAAAGGAAAAAGGTAGAGTTTTATGTTGTTGTTTCCAGACACACAAACAGCTTAAGTGTTAAATGAGGTCCTTTAATTTAAGTATTTATGATATGTAGTAGGGGGTCTGAACTGAAAAGTTGGAATATATATACTTATTTAAAGCTTTATTTTGGAGATGAGGTAGTCTTAAAAAGGTTTTAGACCAGGTTTGTTCCTTCAGGGTTTGGAATAGGGTTATCTACATTATTTAGGTTATCTACAAGTAAACATTGAAAAAATAAACTTAAAAACAAATTATAAAAGTTACCCCAGAAAATAAAACTATGATTAAAATACATTATTAAATTTATTTATTTATAATATTCTTGTAGGATAGTAATGCAGGGAAGTATAATTCTATATAAATCAAATACATCTGCTATCCTTTTTCTAGATTGTTTCTGATTGTTTTTAGAGAAATTTTTATCAGTTCACTAAAAGATTTTGAAAATTTTATCTGAAACTAAATCAGTTTTACAAAAAATTTTATAAACAGTTTTACATACAATTTAAATATAAAACATACAGTTTTGATCAATTCACTGAAGACTTTGAACGTAAACTTTATATCTAGCAGCAAAACATTGTAAAAAGACTATATATAATAAGTTATTGTTGATACTATAGAACTAAATGATGCTTTATAGTATTGATTAAAAATAAAAAATGTAACTCCCAACAAGTTAACAAAAAGTAAAACCCTAAAGTTATTGCTTTTAAGGTATTGTTTGTTTTGTCTATTGTTGTTAAATCATTCTGGATTAATATTTCATATTTTTAACAAAATTCAAGTGCTTTGTGTAACAGAATGTATTCTAAGTTTGTAAAGTATTTAGTCATTTAACATATAATATAATACATTTAAGTTGTAAGTGTAAGACTCGAATGTTCCTTGTATTTTAGCATACATATCTCTTATAGAGGAAATGCTAATAAAGTAGTTATTTAATAACTAAATTGCTTTTTTAGGTTCATTACTTTAAATGATAGCTTTACGGTAGATTTATTTTCGTAGAACTTTTCATTTGTAAACACTATCCTAAGATTTTGGCATTATTTTGTATTTTCTGCATATATATATATATATATATATATATATATATATATATATATATATATATATATAAATATATATATATATATATATATATATATATATATATATATATATATATATATATATATATATATATATATATATATATATATATATATATATATATATATATATATATATACAAAATATATATTAAAAACTTAATCTAAAAACCATAGAAAGTCCAAAGTTTTTACAAATATGCAACATGTTATGTTAACGTCAATCGTGTTTAGTTGTAACGTCAAACATCAACCATGTTTAGTACTTCTGGTCAAGTTTTCTCTGGTTATGTTTATTAAGCTGAGCATTTATCCACAACAAAAACCAAAGTGGATCACCTAATGATATACAATCAAACATACAATTAAAGTCAGGACGGTTTGATTCTATTCACTTTTTTGACTCGTTTGTTATTATTTTTTTGTCAAAATGTAGGAACATTTCTTTTAGTTATAATCGAAGTAATTTTTACAGTGAAAAAGTTGAAAAAGTACTAATAAAAATAGTATCTTGTTGAGAAGAAAAAATTTTCTTGTTCTATATCTGGTAATACTTCCCATTTATCTCTTGATGTTGCATTTGATTGATCTTTTAAAATATCTCTTGATGTTGCATTTGATTGATCTTTTAAAATATCTCTTGATGTTGCATTTGATTGATCTTTTAAAATATATTGTAAGAAAACACTTGATCAATTAAAAACCTCTTGTTTAAAAAATGCACAGACCATTACAACAATTTTTTTTTTTTTTTAGTTTTTTTTTATTTATTTATTTTTTTTAATTCTTTTAATTTTTTTTTTTATTTTTTTATTTTTTTCAATTTTTTTTTTTCAGTTTACAATGTTAGTCGTGTTACAAATTTATAAGTCGTAATATATAAACATAAGTCGTAATACATTTAAGTCGTACTAACAATATAAAACTAGGTTTCCGAAAGAAGATCATAAGGATCTTATCATCGGATCCTTAAAAAGTAAAAATATTTATTTATATCATATATATATATATATATATATATATATATATATATATATATATATATATATATATATATATATATATATATATATATATATAATATATATATATATATATATATATATATATATATATATATATATATATATATATATATATATATATATATATATATATATATATATATATATATATATATATATATATATATATATATATATATATATATATATTATATAGAAAATTTAACGTGTTTACATTATGCAAAATACAACACATTTTAATATATAATAAGTTGAAGATTTAACAAATACATTTCACATACATTTTTAATAGAATTTTAGAATGTTGTCCATAGAGAGAATGAATTTTTTAACTTAATTTTAAAAAACTAGTTTTTTAAAAGGTTCTTTTAAAAAACTATTATTTCTAAATGTGTATTTATTTATTCGTTTTAAAGAAAAAAGGTCGTTAAAAACAAATAAATATAAATCGTTTTTCCATATAAAAGTAAAACATAAGACATTAAATATGTTCAGTTTATAAACATCTAGAAAAGTAATAGAAGGATCAAATTTTGGTAATACTATTTTATTCCAAAGATGGGGTGCACGATATGCAATACAAAATCTATTAAATATAGTTCTACAAAAAGGTTCTTTTAAAAAAACTATTATTTCTTAATGTGTATTTATTTATTGGTTTTAAAGAAAAAAGGTCGTTAAAAACAAATAAAGATAAATCGTTTTTCCATATAAAAGTAAAACATATTTAATGTCTTAAATATGTTCAGTTTATAAACATCTAGAACCTTCATATAATCAAAAAAATATTTTGAATGTGAGAAGTGATCCGCATAATTAACTACGCGGATTGCATGTTTCTGACGGCGATAAAGATGTTGTAATTTACTTTTATCCGTACTTCCCCAGGCGATGATTGCATAGTTTATATAGTTATGTATAAATGAATGATAGAGTTGGGTTAAGTTTTTTTTGTTAGATAATTTCGGGCTTTGTATAAAATGCCAATATTTTTGGAAATTTTTGCGCTTATATGATCAATATGTTCTCTCCAAGTAATATTCTCATCAAGGTAAACACCTAAGAATTTTATAACAGTATCTCTTTTTTATATCGTTTCATCAATATAAATTTGAGGCATAATACTTGGTAAAAAACGTTTTTTTGCGCAGTGAAAGATAATCCCTTTTGTTTTGTTAATATTTAAAGTTAATTTATTAGCTTTAAACCAATTAGAAATGTCATTTAGTTCTTTGTTTGTAGTTGAAAAGAGTTCATAAATATCAGTATGGGATAAGAAAAGATTAGTATTATCAGCGAACATTATACTTTTCAATTTGGAAGCTTTGTTTAAGTCGTTTACATAGATTAAAAATAGCAGTGGTCCGAGAATAGAACCTTGTGGAACACCAAAGGTTATGCTCAAGGGTTCACTTTGCTGACCATTATTACTATAAACAAGATGTTTTTGTTTTGTTAAATAGCTTTCAAACCATTTACTGATTCTATTGTTTAAACCATAATGTTTAATTTTTTGGATTAAAATGTGATAAGTGACCGTATCAAAAGCTTTTGATAGGTCAATAAAAACACCTAGTGTATATTGGGATTTTTCAAAAGATTCAGAGATGTTATGTATAAATTGAATAATGGCATGTTCAGTTGAACTCCCTTTTCTGAAACCATACTGATTGTTATGAAGTAAGTTGTTGTAATTAAAATAATTGTA